GAAGAAGAAGAAGAAGAAGAAGAAGAAGAAGAAGAAGAAGAAGAAGAAGAAGAAGAAGAAGAAGAAGAAGAAGAAGAAGAAGAAGAAATTGTCAACAGAAGTGATTAAGACAGTGCGATCATCGTAACTTGAGACATTGGTGAAGCACCTATCAGCTGTGTCCATTCCTCCTTATTGTCTGCATGGAACATTCTGCAGTATTTTCCAGAACAGGTCTTGTGCTAGTTTCAAAGGACTAGGTCAAACTCTTGCCACGTGAGGTAGTAAGGACTCCATTTTATGTAAATGCTCTCTAGGATGCTGTCCCCAGACGCCCAGCATTTTGAAACTTTTAGATGAGGTGCTAATGTGAATATAAAATGCTCGGGAATGGAGGACAACTTAGGTGTCCAGGAGACATCATCGATGCAGGGATAATTAGCATGATTCTTAAAGACTACTATAATGTTTTCATTGGTAAGGCTAGGAGAGAGAAACAGAAATAAAAATATGAAACATAGAAGCCAGAAGTGGTGGAGGAAACCTGTAATCCCCAGTACACGGCACGTTGTCGAGCAAAAAGACCAGTTCACAGCCAGTGTTGGCTGTATAACAAATTCAGGGCCAGCTTTACATGAGACCTGGTCTCAATATGACAACCAAAAGATTAATCCTATATGCTCTAGACAAGCTTTGATTAAGGATTAGAAATAGGAGTTATAATGTAAAATCATACATTTTTGATTTTGGGCCAAAAATCACCACAGCTTCTTTGTAAAAAAAATAATATATATGTAGTTTTTTGTGTGTTTCTATACAATATCAAGAATTGATTCTAGTTTTCAAATTACCATTTCTTATATGGTCTTATTCCCATGGCCTGATGTTCTCATTGACTGTATTCGGTGTGTGTGTATCTTGATACCAGTGCACTTGGGTGTTTTTATGAGGATATATATGCATGTTCATGTGTGTACAGGTGTGCCTACATGTGTGCATGTGCATTTGGAGGCCTGAAGTCAGCCAGTGGTGGTGTTCTCAAGAGCCATCTACTTCATGTTTTGAGATGGGGTCTCACTAGGATCTGGGGCTCACTGATTATGCTAGTCTGGTTGGCTAGTCAGGGGTTCTCCTGTCCGCTTCCCCAACACTGGGATTAAAGGCATACCGTCAAGCCCAGATATTTCCATGGAGGCAAGCACTGTCCAGACTGAGCTATCGCTATCTCCCCGCACTGGATATTTGTATTATAAAAGACTCCAAGCAACACTGAAATGAAACCTTTTCCTGATTTGTAGTCTGTTTTGCTCCTAATACATCTGAAGATGTTGGTCTATTTTCCATTCTGTTTACCCAGTGAATCTGTTTCATCTAGCGATTTTCATATCTAGGTGAGAACATGAAGGGGCCTCTGTAAGGCCACTTCCACGCACTGCTGGCCCCTGGTGGCCTCTTCTTCATAGCGCAGTTGAAACCCCAAGAGTTCTTTCCTGTCTGAGAATCACCTGGTTAGCCAGAGGAAGATTTTGATTGTTCCTGGAAGGAGTGTTTTTTCTTCTTAGAACAGATTTAAGCATGACACTTGAATTCCAGTAATCACTTTCCAGAATGTTAGACAAAGATAACCTACGTACAGGGAGAAACTGGTACTTACATTCCCTGTTTGAGAAATCCAGTTGCTCAGAATGTACATGTTCATCTCATTTTCCCAATTCAGCCTCAAAAGAATAACTATAAGACAAGAAAAGATCAGTCAAGGCAGGTAGCTCACACCTGTAATCCAAGCACTCAGGGTACTGCAACAGGATTGCTACAAGTTTAAAGCCAACCCAAATCATCATCATCATCATCATCGTCATCATCATCATCATCATTATCCCAAAGGCAGAAGCAAGACAATCAAAAGTTCAGTGTCAGCTTGGCATGTAGTGAGTTCAGAGCCAGCCTGGGCTACATGAGACCCTGTCCCAATAAAGCATAAAAGAACGACAATAAACCATTTTTTAACTCAAGTTTAACATTAAAATATGGAATTTTAGCTTGGAAAATTTGTATAAAAATCTTTCCACTTTGTCCTGACCATATGTCCTGACATATGTTAAGGATGGTGTGGGTTCTGTCCAGTTGGCCCTTGAAAGTCTGCAAAGATGTTTCTAGTTGATTATGATCAGCAGAACTAAGGAGAAAGGTGT